AGATATATGGCACATGCCCATTGGAATTGGGGAGCCCGTAAAAGAAAACACACAACTCAGTCTAGGGGAGGCCAAAGATGAAAATTTGGGGGAGATGGGCCTGAAGCTATAAACTTTGTACTTCTATCAGAGAAGAAACCTCTGCGTGTACAGTAAGATGTCTGCAATTTATAGCAGGTATTTTGGAAAGCATCCGCTTGTTTGCATTGCCTTTGTTAGCAATGGAAAGTATGCATTGGTGTTTAAAACCAAAGACACAATGAAATATAAGATGCAGCAAACAATACCTGGGGTCCATTACACATTCAAAATGTTTTTGACTGTTGACCATTCAAAAACCTTTCACTGTTGCAAAGCTTTTCTCAATAGCCACATGGAATTATGCAGCCCTCAGATGGAATTGTATTATTTCAGAAGCTGGGCTCTAGGGGACCACCCACTGGAGTGCCATCTTGTGACCAGAGGACAGGCCCTTAGCAAACACTGAATTTGCTGGGGTTTTGGTCTTAAACACCTAACCTCCAAACCTGAAAGAATAAATAAATTATTTACTCACTGCATGAGTTCTGTTCTGACAGACTTTTTTAGCTGCTAGGCTTTAATTACAAACCGGTGAGTACAAGCATTGAAAGGCCACAAGTCTCACCCTAAGGCAGTCTTGTTTGAGCATAAGGATGAAAACGTAAGCTAGAAAGCAAAAATTCTTCTACTGTGAGTCATGTGAATGGCTAAAATGCCTGTGTACTGTAGCCCTGCTCGTTTTGAAGTAAACCTTTATTAGAAACTGAAGACTCTTCTCAACCTCTGTGCTGGTGCACAGCCATAGTGTACACAGAAACTTGGAAATTGCATGCATTGTGGTCTGAGTTGAAAGGCTGCTTCGTGTGTGTGTGTGTGTGTGTGTGTGTGTGTGTGTGTGTGTGTGTGTGTGTGTGTGTGCGTGTGTGTGCGCGCGCGCGCGCCTCCAATTAGCAGTTAGCCTTTATCGGCTCTTATACTTCAGGATCTGTCCTAAGCCCTCTGCAAGTCATAACATCTAACATGCACAATTGTGCGACAGAAGTGAACTATTTTCTTTTACAGCTAATCCATCCTCAGTCTCTGGCTTGTGGAGAGACTGATGTCAGTCACTCATGCTCGTTTCTTGCTAGTTCTAGGGAAGAGAAATTTTGGTAAAACCAAACATTCATCTTGACAGAGGTCTAATCACCCCCACCTACAGCTGCCATGAAAGCACTAGAGAAATTGATGTCCCTTGTTTTCAATGGTTTCTTTCTTTCCTGTTATCAGTAAAAAGAGGGGGGGCAGGAACACTCTCATTTCTTATAAATAGGTACAATTTAATATCTCACTTTGCCTAGTTTTTAAAGCAAACTTTACCACAGGTGTGTATTAGGGCACAATATAGTATATGTAGCATTGGTGCACACATTTCAGGAATCAACACTGGAGGGGGCTTGGAGCGCCCCTCCTGGGGAGGCTTTACTTTGGAACTGAAGTCAAAACAAGCAGGACTTCCTTCTACATCGCGGTACATCTCAGTCTTGAGACCTACCACTGAAAACCACTGGGTTACAGACATCCCCCACCCTTGTCCCCAAGCGAAGTGGTGTTGCTGTGGTTCTTCAAGAGCAACAAAGGCATTTCTCAGCCCAGAGCTACTCAACACTGACTGGTAAATGTAGGTCAACCTGAGCCAATGGTCCTTGAGTTCACTGTCCCATCAGTAATCAAGGACACACAGACATGGGAGTAAGCAAAGAAAAAGCAAGCATTATCAAGGAGAATCAAAGAAGGGAGAGAAACTCCTAGAGTTGTGAAGGGCCCCTGAGTGGGAAAACTGCAGTGCTCCTCCAAGAGGGCACTGAACTGGCACTGGCCAGGCTATCCATCCAGGGTCTTTTTTTTTATGTCTATGCAAGAAATGAGACAGCAACGGAGGCCATTTCTATAAATTGGTTAGTTCTCTGTGCTTTTCTTAGGCCAAGAAAATTAGGTCACGAACTCCATGCTTTTTTTTTTTTTTTTTTTTTCCTGACAAGAGGGAGATGATTATGGGCTCTTAGCACATTGCTCACCCAGCGGGGTGTAGCTGAAGGCCCTCTCCTGTCTCTCTGACTTCTGCTTTACCATCCGATGACCAGGATGGACTGGTATGCACCAGCTCGGACTGGTGTCACTGCCAGTATTGCTGGTGTCTTGCTGTTTAGCAAATGATGTTCTTTGTTCTCAGACTCAGACTCACGTGGCCAGTTTAGTTTCCCCACTACAGGGAACGAAGCCCTGTCACAGCTACTCAGAATGAGCTGCAGTTTCCTGAATTGCCTCTCACTTGGCTCCTTCATGGGGTACTCTGGGATGCTGGACTAGGAAGACTTTTTAGAAACTCCTTATAATTTAGCCCATTACAAATTACACAATTTAGTTGGCTGCATTAGAATCAAGGACACCACAAGAAAACTCAATACCTGGGCTCATAGGGGCTCAAGGACTGAATCCACACCCAACGAGCCTGCATGGAGCTGACCTAGGCACTCTGCCTCTATGTGACAGTTGTGTAGCTGGGTCTATTTGTGAGACTCCTAACAGTGGGAGCAGGGGCTGTCTCTGACTCTTTCACAGGCTATGGGGACCCTACTCCTCATACTGAGTCACCTTGCCCAGCCTTAATACATTGGGAGGGGCTTAATCTTACTGCAACTTGTTTTCTTGATGCTCATGGAAGACCTGTCCTTTCCTAAACAGAAATGGAGGAGGAATGGATTGGGGGGTGGGAACAGAGGAGGGCAGGCTGGGAGTCGGGCCGAGGGGGGAATTGTGTTCAGGATGTAAAATAGATGTACACATATTTTCAAAAAAGAATCTGTGAAAAGACAACAGAGCTTTGCCTATGTTCCTCAGGTGGGCTGGGGGCAGCGAAGGCAGCTGGAACTGCTTCTCCAGAGCACTTCCCTTATCATTTGCTCAACTTGGTGTTCTCACACCCAAGGGCAAGCCCTTTTATTTCTAAGGGATACTGTTCCTGGCCAGACCTCACAGTTTTAATACTAACATCCATTTAACTCTAATGCTTGACCTCATCACTTTGGTGTGGTGGATTGAAGCTGCCTCAAAGGGTCAAGCCAGCAACTTAAGACAATTCTGGAAACAGAGGGGTAGCATCCAGGAAAGCAGGGACTATGTATTTTGTTTTTGTTTACTTCACTGCCTCTAAGAACTTGTCACCAAAAAATAAATAAATAATTGTTTCTTACTTTTTAAATGCTATTTTAATTTTTGTAATTTTAATTATGTTTGTGCACGGTGGGTGCAGTACCTGCAAAAGCCAGAAGAGGGTGTTCTGAAAGAGTAGTACATGCTCTTAGCTATGGACCCTCCCCAGCACTCTATTTCTTACTTTTAAATACTTTCCTAACATAGTTGCCTACTGAATACACTTTTAAAAGTTTAAAAAGTCACAATAAACTAAACACTCCAAGATCAACTAAATGGGATTGTCTGGAGTAAAAGCATTTTTTGTAAAATTTTGTGCATGCATGTGTGTCTGTGTGGGAGTATATGCCTGTGAGTGCAGGTGCCTGTGGGGGCCAGAAGTGACTGTTGGATCCCCTGGAGGTAGAGTTAGAGTTGTTCCTGTAAAATGCATTCTTTCTTGTGAGCCTCACAGCAAATGTGTGCTGTGAACCAAGCTTAGGTCCTCTTAACTGCTGAGCCATCTATCTCTCCAGCCCACCACTCCACCCCCCCCCAAGTTGTCTAGGAAATTACAATGTGCAATCTAGGCAGAGAACAACTTTGTAAGCTCAGTTACCTCATAATGCAACCAGTCATAATTAGCATTTTGAGTGACTACTTTATGCTGGGCAATTTACATAATCACCACTAGCACCCTGCAGTAGATATGTTAGTCATAGAATATCATAGGTGTGAAAAGTAGGGCTTGGAGAGGCTGAGGCAGACCAAGGGCTTCAAATTTACCATGCTGTCTCCTGAGCTGGAAACTTCATATGCACCATGCTGCTCCAGGGGATGCCCTGACCCAGCAATTATTCCTGTAAAGTACATTCTTTCTTCCATGGGGTCAAAAAGGGCCATAGATACTCAGAGTTCAACCCAGCATTCCTAAAGAATCACATAAATTCCTTCCATGGAAGTTGAGAAGAATAAATTTTTAAGAACTTTTTTAAAGAGTTTGGGAAATGAGCATTACAGAGTAATAAGACAGTATTGTGAGATGACTATATTGTCAAGCCATTAAAGTCAGTCTAACTTCTTTGACTAAATAAGCTTTAAGTTTTGAGCAGGCATCTTGGGTATTTTGAGAAGGAATCAGAAAAGGCAGACTCAAGAAAACAATCAATGGATAGTAAAGGCCGACAGCATGGGGATCACTGGTGTTTACAAACAAGACAAGCTAAAATAAATGAGAACAGACGGCTGTTCGGTTGGGAAGAATCCAAAAGCTGCAAGACAGGTGGGGTGAAGTCCACACCCTGAGCCACTAACCCTGAGTCAGTAGATAAAAGGTGACAGATTATTCAGTAATGCAAACAACTTAAAAGGGAACACAAAGCAAATAGTCTCTATTTCCTATTTCTAAACCTCTTCAACGATAAAGTAATGTAAATGGGATCTTGCTTTCTAAAAGTTGGCTGGAAGTATGTAAATGTTTACATGTCAGAAAAACCTATTAATTCCCTGAAGAGCAAAAAATCTGATTACTGGGGTTAATGACTATGGAAACCTCTCCTCTAAGGTAAATAAGCATTGTTATTATTTTTGGAATGTAAGATTTTCATCATTCATCATTACATAATGAACATACAGGACACTGGCACTTAACTGTAATTTGACCTAAGAGAAAATCATCTCATTAGAACATGTGAACAAAGGAAAAAGAATTTCTCCACATAAATATAACCCCCCCCCCAATGCTTCACTCATTTTCTGAGTCATTATTCCCTTAGGAGAGCGGAAAGGAGGACAAAAGGCACCGCCCATTTGTCAGGACAGAGCTGTACCCTGCCTATCAAATACCAGTTTGCACCTTCAGGGCTAAGTAGCTAGGAGGCTCCAAAGAGAAGTTTTGCAACCTGAAAACTTAAAGAAGTTCACACCTGAATTGTAAGTTTACATGACGATTTAGCATTGAAACGCCCTCATGTTATCTTTTAGTCCGTTGCATGTGTAAGTTTTAAGATTGAATTTATATGTATGCGGTACATGTGTGATAGATTGAGTGTGTGAGTTCATGTGCCATGACACTCTGGGGGAGACAGAGGACAATTTTGGGGAGTGGGATCTTTTCTTACATCATGGGTTCCGGGGATTGAACCCAGGTCATGAGACTTGTGCAAGCAGCAAGAGCTTTAACCCATTGAGTGTTTTGGCTGGCCCCAGACAGATACAAATTGTAACAGTAATAGTATGAAATTTGGTGTTGGTAAGATGAAAACACTGCAACTTGGTGTACAGTCAGGTCACTCTTCTGTCACGTGACTTAAATGAGTTCACGTGTGACTAGTTCCTAACCACACATATACCATTATTGAGACTAATGTGCTGTCATATGAACAGAGAGCACACAGGATTAACCTGAACAAGTAAATTCTAGAATTATTCTCCTATTACAGGAAGTTTTAGTGTTTTCATGGCTATCCTTAAATTTGGCTTAAAAAATACAGAAGACATTTACCCGTATCATTTAATTATTAGAGATGTAAAATTAGTTTTAAAATGCACTTCCAAGTTGCCATAGAACATGTTCTAGAAAACTGGAAATGAATATTACCTTGAAGGTTGCTTTGAAAAGACCACATGGAAAGATTATTAGGATTTATTGTAGACTGCTATCAGCAATTCCATATGGTTCATTGGGAAAAGAAAAACTGCTATCATAGCCTATGACCTGGCAGGGCCCTTTTGCAGACAAAAAGCTGCTGCAGAAGAGGATGTCCTCCTCTCTGCTATGTGAGTCACATAGTCAACATACAGACTAATGGCACTGGCTTTCCATGTTCAAAGGTACTGCTGGTGAAGCAGGAAATGAGTGCAGTTCTGACTACAGCTCCACGATGCATGCAACTGATTGAGGTTAGCAGGTACAGAGAACCGGGGAGGGAGGGGGGAAGAAGCAGGAAGAGTTTGAAATTTCATCTTCATATAAAAAAGTCATGCGGCCAATGATTTACAAATTGTACTTCCAAACGGTCTTTGTACACTTAACTGTTATCATATCCGCCTCAGAAGTTGTTGAAAAGTTAATATCAAGACTAGTTTGGTACCAGGGACAGCAAAACTGGAACCCCAGCTACCCAGGTGGCTGAAGCGAAAAGGACTGCAAGTTCAGGGCCAGAATGGACAACTTAATGACACTATTTTAAAAACAAAAATAGGAATGGATGATGTTGAACACATGTTTATAATACAAGGCAGAGGCAGCAGGAACAGGAGTTCAAAGTCAGGTTTGGCTAAATAATGGATTCAAGGCCAGGCTGGCCTACATAAGACTCCCCCCTCCCCCCCCACTCTCCCCCTTCCCCTCCCCCGCAAAAAAAATCAAAAACATTCACAGGGCTATGGGTGTAGTTCAATGCTGGCTCACCTAGGATACACAAGGCCTTAATGCCCAGCACCAAAATTTTTTTTAAAAGTGGGTAGAAACTCCAGTAACCAGCTACACCAGAAGCAACTATCCAAAATAATAAATGCTGGCTTTAAGACAGAAGTTGACATTTCATTAATGCAGAACACAAATATGAGGGGAGCAATGGTAGTTCAGTAGCTAAATTCTGTCCTCCTGGAACACAAATATCCAGTCATTAAATGACTTCTTAGGAAAAGCCAGCCAAATTAAGCATAATATGAAGAGATTATAGGCCTAGTTCACAACATGTTTCATTGAAGACACTTTGTTTTCTAATGAGGAAAGGGCTTTCTAGTTTCCTTGACAGACTGCAGCGCCTGAAGGTGCAGCATCCCCTATAGGCTCACTATCTGGCCACTTGGTCCTCACTGTTATTTGGGGAGGTAATGGAACCTTTGGGAGCTGGTGCCTGCTGGAGGAGGTGCTATGACTGGGATGGGCTTTGAGAGTATAGCTTTGCCTCACTTGGATTTTATTCTCCCTCTGTGGTTGCTGTTTGCAGCTGAAGATGTGATTTCTCAGCCTCCTGCTCCGGTTGCCTTCTACCATTATGGACTCTGCCTCTAACTGTAAGTCAAAATAAACTTTCTTCCCTAAGATGCTTTATCACCATGACAAAGAATAGCTAATATACAGATCCAAACACATGAATAACTCATTTCCCACAGGGGTCCACAAAGATCCCGTTTTTTAGGTCAACATGTTGAGACCTAAAACAATTTACACACTCTACATGATTCTCTTTTTTTATTTTTTAAAAAAAGACAGATTTAGGATTTGGTAAGAAATTACTGAGTTACATTTTTTTTTTTAAATCTGTGAAGTTCTACAGTAATGGAGTAAATAAATAAGATTTTTAAAGTTCAATGTTTACAGACATATTATAAAAAATGATTGCATTAGAAGACATTAAATAATGTTGATACACACCAGGAAGGGATTTGGGCACGGAAAGGCACATCATTTCACCACAAGAAATAAAGACCACAGTTGGAAGTTAGTGGGTAGCCACAGCTTTATATCTTGTGGTGGTGGAACCCCCAGGTCTGGGGGTCACTGTTGGTAGGACCTCCCACTTAGTACTTAGCTGGAACAAAGCAGTTGGGAAATGGACTGTGATTCTTCTAATGCTCTGTTAAAAAGAAAGCACTTTTTTAATAAGCCTGGTGTGTGGAGGGGGAAATTCACAGCAGAAATTCACAATGGTTTGGTGGCACTGAAAATCCTAATGAGTTTCAGTTTTTTTTTTTTTTAAAAAAAAAAAAAAACTTAATATAATGTAGTATGATTAATCAGCTTTTCTCATTGAATTGAAACTTTGCAGTTAAAAGCTACAATTTCAAGTAAACATCATTTTTCACTTTTTTTTTCTTGTAGACAATCACAGTATAAACAGCTGCCATATTTTATGTCAGATGAATGAAGCAATGTACCAAAGTTTAGGGACAAGGATGCTAAAAATAATTTCCCAATTTTATGTGCACACATCTTTAGGAACACTGGTACTGCTAGCTGACTGGTATCAACAACAGGAAATTAAACATGAAGTTTTGACAGTGATAACAGATCTCATATGGAATTAGTTTCTAGTTCAGCACATGTTACTACACTACTGCGTTTAGCAGACATCAGCAGGCCCTGTTCTGGGTCAATTTTCCACTGCCAATGTTCTATCACAAAGTAGGTTCACATCTCTACAGTTCTTCTTGTCTGAATTCTGAACCTAGATCAATCTGGTAAAAGACTGAGCCACTCAAAGTGAGCCACATCCATTTTAAGTGGTATTTAGTGGCACTGTATATAAATTAAAGGGACTTTTAGGATAAAATGGCATATCCACAAAAATATGAAAGACAACTGGGCGATAGACAAGGGAAAACTTCAATAGAAAAAAAAATTAAAAACGGCCATTGTCAAGCAGGCAGCTGCCCATTCACGCCACTCGATAGGCCTTCATTAAGGTGTACTCTTTCCGGTTGGTGTGGGCAGCCCAGATGAAGAGAGCAGACGCCATGAACTGTAAGGGAGCCGAGACGCAGGCCAGGCAGAAGGACCATCCAAATTCTCCGGACACATTCTCAGGCAGCCCTAGTTTCTGGTGTAGTAGTTCAATGCCGGCAACATAGCAACTTACAGAGCCCAGTGTGCACAGACCTTCGGAAGAAAGTTAGAAATCAAAGTGTGACTGCGCGAGAGCACAGAGAAAGCTTCTCTAACAGTGTGACAGTATAATGGTATGTGAAGTCACATTGTGGTCCACAGGAGGACAGAGGAATCAAAAGAACTGAGTGACCCACCTGCCAGGAGATGGAGGATGCCCGTGGCAATGGTGGGATACAGGCTTCGGCAGATACAGGCACAGAGTCCAATCAAAGCCCCAAAACACACCAAACCCAAGCTAACGAAAGGTAAAAGGAACTGGCAACGCCAAAGATCTAGTTTTTAAAAGAAGAAAAAAATTATTTCAGACCATTTTCTACAATAGCAATTTCTTTCACATTCTAAAGGATTAACTAGAGCTTTCCTCAGAAAGTGAGAAACAAGTATTTTATTTCCAAAGCCTTGTTTTTCAAAAGGATGGCAACTTTACCCTGAAACAAATAAAAGGCTAACAGTTAAGTTACCAAAGGCTTAGCTTGTGCCATGCAATGTTTGCTACGAGTGTGCTTGCATTACCCCTCCCAGCATCTTACACTATTGAGTGCTACTACTAGTTGTCTTTCGGTAACTGGAGGAACTGAGACAAGAGACATTAGTAACTTATACAAATTAAGAAACGTGAATAACCAAGACTTGAAGTAAAACACAGTTTCCTTCTATAGAGACACAAAGTGAAAATCTCTGCATGATCGAAGGCAGGAGACAGAGTAAGCAAGGGATGATTACAAATGAGGACATAGTGGACGTGGAGTGTACTGGACACTCGGTGGCAGCTATAAATCTCTTAAATTCCCCTTTGTACTTATTTTGTTTTCTAGAACAGCACACAAAGTCTTTATTTCCAAATATTATGCCTTCCCTAATATTCTGCTCCCAATACACTTCTTCCTCTCATTCTCACTGCAAAGGTGAGTAACGGCAACTACTTCACTGATTCCTTTAATACTAGTATCCTAAAAACTGTAACTCAAATCTGAAGATGGTATTTCATTGGCAGTCTAACCATCGAGGAACAGAATACTCAGTACTGTTTGGTTTTGGCATTTACTCTTTGGCTACTACTACCTAGGATTGGAAGGGTACTCCAACAGGCCTGACATGGAGCCCTTGAGAGCTTGTAGAACTTCTACAGGTATGCTTATGTAAGCTCAGGCAATGGGAGTGGGCATCTCACCGTTAGCCTACTAAGTTTTCCCTTATTGGGGCCCACTAATAACATCTTTTGGAGATGTGGACTCCACCCTCCACTGTTTTAGCTACCTCAACTGCAAATTATCTGAGGTTTGGTAAGCATGTTTCTGACCTCCAAATAATATTAGCCATGGAACAGAGCTTACTGGAATGCTGCTGGGGAAGTTACTTAATGTTGACACCGTGCACTAACATTCCAAAAGCAGAGTTCAACCAAACAGATTCTTCTCCCAACTGTCCTGCTGACAGCCAAGTACTCACAGGTCCGAAGCAGATCAATTCCACTATTGTGGTTTCCTGGATCAACATATTTCTCCATGAACTGTTCATTTAGTGAGAAACTCATGCATTTTGTAACCACATCAAAGGACTCTGGAACAAGAACAATCACTGCCTGTTATTTTCATGAAAAACATGCCATAATAATTTCTTTCAGGAACTGTCTTTTGAAATAAAAGGTAATGCAGAAAGACATTCCCCAAGACATACATAATCTGTGTTCCCCAGGGACACACAGGTCACACTGTTGCCACCTCTGAGTCTCATTGACAGTCTCAGGATTTAGACACAAGGAAGAAAACAAGAGGAACAGTAACCTGAGAGGTATGTTAGAAGATTTGTTAGTAACAAAGTAGATATATTAGAGACTAGGAAATATGGACAGGAACACAAAATCTGAAGAATTCTAATCTTCTACCCTAAACTTAATATACCAGCCTCAGTCCTCAAGAGGTGACATACATCATCCTTTCTAGGTTCTTGAACAAGAAATTTCAGTCTTTTTTTTCCCTAAATCTCAATCATTCTTGTCCATATAAATTACAGCAAAAAATCCTAACAGCTTCCTTCAAGAGATTTGCAAGCTCTAGCTATGACCCAGTGCTGCTGTGCTGGTCTGATTCACAATGACCTCGCCCCTGAATTACAACAGCCTCCTAACTGCCGATCCCGAGCTGACACCCCTGCATCCTACCCATGTAAACAGACATCAACCAGAGTGACCGGGTCAGGTCTTTCCTCTTCCGCTCGATAGCTCTCTACAGTCTGTAAGGTGTCCAGGAAACCCAGTGTCCTACACGAACTGTCCCATTCTCGCCTGGTATTCCGATAGTATCTTTTAGTTTATTAACTCTTTATAGTTGTGCAAGTCTCAAATACATTCAGATTTAAAGGCAGAGTTGGTCAAATTATGTCCTCTAAAATATAAGGCAAATATAGGATCCTATTATATAACATAGCTAATTGTTTGTTTTTGGTTTTGTGAGACAGGGTTTCTCTGCATAGCCCTGGCTGTCTCTGATCTCGTTTTATAGATTAAGATGGTCTCAAACTCAGAGATCTGCCTGCCTCTGCCTCCAGAGTGCTGGGATTAAAGGTGTGCACCATCACCACCTGGCTAACATAGCTAACTGTAAGAGGACAATCAACTCACATTTGTTGGCTTGATTTTGAATACCACTTCTTTCACAAATTATCAAATATTTAAAATCTTCAAACTAATTCCTCATGACAGGTGAAATGAATAAAAAATATTCTAATTAGTAAATAAGTATGAGGAGCCAAATGGCTTTCCCAAGATTAGGAAATTACTGAGCCAACTGATGTCAGTGAGGACAACATAACTGCACAGTCGTTGAAGGAAAATTGTAGGAAAAACCAAACAAACACAGAAAATTTCTTATGGCGTGCACAAACCTGCCTATGCATCACTGAGTAGTCATTATTAAGTGGTAAAGGAAAGATAATCGGAAATAAAGACTACCTGTCCTTTCTGGTGGAGTATACCAGTATGTGTTTTTGGGGATGGTGATACACCGTCTCCACAATCCCATTGTGCCATTGTATCGGAACAGTGCATCATTGTAAGTCTTTTCATCTGCCTCATCACCGAGGAAGTCATCCCAGGCCACTTTATTCGAATCACTTGAATTCTCTTGAACAGGACTTCGATATTCATACCAGAAGTCTGTGCCTATTGAGGCAGCCATGTAGATGGTGGAAATGAGGCTAAGTACACAAGCAATCACAAATGCTGTAGCAAAACGGTTATCCATTCTGGCATTCAGACTGCTCTGTTTAAGTCGAAGAGAGAAGAAAAGTTAGATCTCAAGAAAATATATATATTTTTTATCTCAAAACAACCATTTTTCCTATTACCCATCCCATCTTTTTGTAATGCATTTATTATTTTAAAAAATTTACAAACAAAAAAAAAGGCAAACAATAAGTTTAAAACAAAACTCATTCTCATCAAAGTACTTATTGAATGCTCACATACCCAGGACGCTACGGAGACAGAAGTCTTGGTCTCTAGTCTATCACCTGCATACTAAAACAGACAACACTGAAATGGACATACACATTTCCGATACAAACAACAGACATGCCCATGATCAGCAGTGTAGCATGCACACATTAACTGAAGGTTGTATTTTTACAGATGCTACAAAATGTTAAGTGTTTAGGGTTTGAGTGAGAAAAAGACTTAAGAAAGGGAAGCTAGGAACCATCTGCTCTTGGTGGGAAGGCTTCCAAAATGAGGGCAGGAGTGAGGAGTTATTTGAAAATCAGAGCTGAAGGTGTTAACCCAAAGGGAAAGTTTGTTTTAAGCGTATGTCATAGCAAAGAGACCAATAACATCACTAGGTATCAATCTCCCCCAATCCAATTAAAGCTAAGCCAAGCTTCCTCACACAGCCAGCTTCTTCACTCTCTCCATCCCTTACATTTCTCAACCTCCCGAACTGCAACCCTGCTCCCTAACCCTCAAGTATAGCATGCAACCATAAAAACTAAATGCTCGCTACTCGCAAACAGAAACGTGAGTTAGGCAAAATCTGAACACACCCTAGGCGTGGACAGGGCTCTACGGCAGTAGTAAATGGCCGCGGCAAAATGACTCAAGGCGGATCACGCTGAGTCAAACCCTGCCAAGTGTATGGACACCGTGACCGCCTCGAACCCCTCACTATACAGGCACCCGACAACAGGCTCACAAACTGGGGAGCAGAGTTTGGAAAAAGGAAGTGGCTCCGGAAAGACCGGGGCGATTGCAACAATGAACAATAACTCAGTAACTGCGGTTTGTGTTTTGATTTTCAAAAATCTCGCCCATCCTGGTGCTCTCGGGTGACCTTAAAGGCCGGGCTCTGGAAGCTGCGCCTACGCGGTCACCCTGGGCCTGTGGCACAGCGGGGCCTGGCATGGGCAGGCTGGGCTGGGCGGGTGCCCCCCCCACCCGAACCCAGCCAGCCCCAGCCCCCTTGGCCCAGAGCCCCGCCCCTCCCTCCCCGCCCCGCCCGTCACTCCAGCTTCCCCGCCGGGCCGCGCCCCCGGGGGCCCCTCTCCCCGCGCCGCGCCGCGCCCCGTGCCGGCCCGCGACCCCGCGCACTCACCGCCCATCCTCTCACTCCACCGGCTTCGCCCTCCAGCTCCGACCACAGCACCCTACTCTCCCCGCGCCTCCTCTGACGCACTTCCCTGCAGAGCCCGCCCCCTCCATAACTCCCGCGCCTCCGCCTCCGCCTCCACCCTAAGCTGGGCCAAGGCGAGCCTGAGCCGAGGGGTCTTGTGGGAGTTGTAGGAACACCGGAGGAAAAGCTGCTAGAGGCTGCGGAGAGCATGCCTGATGCGGCGCGGGGCATTGTGGGGAATGTAGTTCTCTCCGAAGGCGGAGCGGTGCGCATAGCAGAGGTCTTGGGTGAGGGATTATTACACCTCAGAAAAGGAGGGACCAAGCTACAGCAAGGGATGGGGGAGGGTCTTCGGTTACCCACAGCCAAAGGCTGTGATTTGTGTAAGTCACGTCTAACTCTCAGTCTTGTGCTTTCCCTACCATAACACCCTACCTCTAAGTATTAGTTCTACTGAGTAGATGAACGTTAAGGGGACCCTACTGTTCAAATATGGACACCACTCCTTCCCCATTTCCTATATCCTCCCTCCCATTTGAGCAAAGAATTCTGTTTTGTTTAAATCTAACTAAGGATATATACCCCCGCATACGGTAACTAAACTAAACTAACGATATAACCTATTGGAATGTTATTCTCATTTGAAGAAATCCGTCATTTGCGCCCTATCACAGGAAATTTTTCTTTTTAAATAAGTTTCAACTGGTTTATTTGAAACTTGTAAATCCTAAGGATACTAGATGTCAAAAATGCGGCTTTAAAGTGTGACTGTAATATGAAATCGAGTTTAGAGAACTTCATTTCGGACAGAAAAGGCCATGAGCAGCCTCGGAAACAGTAGACTGCACGACATGAAAGTAATGGAATGACTCTAAGCCCTCAAATATTTCTCAGGAATTTCTGAACAGGTAACAGGAACTTTTTTTAGTTATAAAGAAAAGCATTTGGCTTTGGCTCGTGGTTCTGCTTCGTCGTGGGCTGTGTCTGGAAATGGACTTCTGGTGAAGCATGACATCACATGGCCAGCAACAAGGAGGTGACAGTATGATACCTGCTTCTATGTTTGTAGAGCAGATAAACTGATGCTTTTACCCAGAACCTACCTAAAAGAGGCACGATGCTAGCCAAATACCCCATAACATCCAAATAATAGCAGGACTAGATTTTCATGTATAACATTAAATCAATTTACCAGGTGGTAGTGATGCACACGTTTAAGACCAGCACTTGGGTGGCAAAGACGGGCAGACCTCTGTGAGTTTGAGGCCAGCCTGGTCTATAGAGTGAGTTCCAGGACAGTCATGGCTGTTACACCAAGAAACCCTCTTTTGAAAAAAAAAAAATTTAAAGCAAATTTGCCACAGGCATCAGTTTGAGAGCTTGATGGGTGTGTGTGAATAGTGAATGATGTATAGTCAGATTTGCCAATGCATTTATGTGCCAGACATCTTCATCCACTGGCCTTCATTAGAAGTCTACTTACTGGAGTAATTTGCTCAACCAGTGCAGGTAAAAGGGACATTTCAAGAAGAACAGAAGAAACAGCCTAAGTTTATAGATGGAGAAACTGAAGCCCACTAGGCAAACGTGAGCACTTAAGTGAGTAAACTAATTTTATGACTTTGGACAATTAATAATCTTTAAGATAGAATTGTGTTTTTTTTCCCAGTATATGTATATTTGAAAATGGCATCTATCCTATGTGATCATTGGAAGGAACAGATGAGAAAATGTATAAAACATCAGGCAGGGACCTGGTGATTATTAAAGAGCTGTTAAAGCATTATTTACAAATGAATGTCTACAGTGTTTGAATATGATTAGCATAAACAGCTTTTTTAAAACTCCTGATTCTCCCAGCGAAGAGGCCTGTCTTGAATAGAGGTATAGGTGTCCTTACTCACTTCAGATGACTTCTGGACCTGTCTACCAACTAACTACCAAGTGACTAGGAACAACTAGCCAGGAAAATATTTCTGAAGTGCTTGGTTAGTCCTCTGCTCCTGGGGTCACAGTACACTAATAATGACACAGGGATAAATGTTTAAGGTAAGGGCTCTATGAAGGAGAATGTTGCTTTCATCCTCCAAACTCTGCAGAATGCCTGGACTCACTTGGGACACCTTTTAATCACAAACTTAGTGTCAACATGGAAGTGTGTGTTTGAGGTTTTGGCCACTCAGAATGGCTTGACACAGAAGACCTGAACTTCCTTCTGACACACAGTCCCACCAACCACACATTCACATTTCTGTTTTATCTCTGAATCTTTGGTGTTTTCCAATTTTTATTTATACTATGTTTTGTGGGTTGGCAAAACAGACCTATCATCAATTATTAGAGATAAATTTTTGCTCCTATTTCTTGCTGAGCTATTTGGGAACACCAGCTGCTCATATGCATTATTGACCAAGTACAGCCTAGCAACCATTCAGGATAATGGGTTATAGGCTTCAAACTAGGCATCTAGTGAAATTTGCTGAATTTGATGTTTCTAGTTTTCAGGAGGAAGGTGTTATAGATAAGTGCACTATAAATGAGCCCAGTAACAGAAGATCTATGTATTTAGATAATATCCTTTGTACAACTCTCTTCCATCCTGGGTTCTCTAATATTCTTAAATACAACTCTTCTTTTTTATTGTTTGCTGTTAGAAACCAAAACTTATGTTAATCAAAACGTAGCTATGTTGTATTAATCTCAAATACTTGTCCTGTTTTTTTTCTTATAAACTTTGGAGCTCAGAAAGGAAACTAGAAATAGTTTCTGAGTCCTAGCCAAACCCCAAAGTCTTGATCAGAATTGCTTTGTATCTGTTCACTCTAGATCAATGACAAGACTTGATTCAGAAAAATAAAAAGCAAATAAAAATGTATCTTAAAATTCTTGTGTCTATTCACCAGAGAACACAACTTAGACATGGGTGTAAGCCAATAGAAAATCTTAATTAGCTGGTCAGCGACTACACTGGGTGATCAGGATCCCAGTGCAGCCCTGAGCCTTTCTGAGAGTGAGCCACTTCTAAGCACAAAAATTATGTTCTGGTTGAGTTCATTAGCAAGAGCAGTTAGCAAGAAGCAGAACTGCAGAAGCTAAAAAGCAAAGTTAGTACATTTAGAGACTTTTACAGAACTATGGACTTTGATGGATTGAGTCTTTGTTTTACTCTTGGCCAGTGTATATGTATGTGCTCAGTTTTGTGGCCTGAATGGTACTTCCATTTTGTGCTACTATCTGGGGGCTTACTAAGGTCTGGGGTCCTATTGCAAAATATTAAACTCCATTCTTTTCATTTAGCAAATCCTATTAAGTGCCTCAAGGTGCAACAAATTATAGTTGTTTGATTCCTATTGCTTGTGCTAGACAATAGTAAATAAGCATTTGGAAATGAGAAAGTTAGTTAAAATTGTACTTTATTTTAAAAGACCATGGGTCCTTCTGCACCCCAGTCCCCATTAGTTAAACCACTACTTAAGCCTTAAATTTTATGACTCATTAGTCAACTGAAAGGATAGGAATGTAACTTCAAAAAACAGTTATCATAGATTTGTCAGCAGAGGCAGAGATTGAGTATACATAATATATTCAGATCTATTTGTTTGTGGGTTGCTTCTGATTTAACATGATGCACTGAATTAAAACATTTGTATAAAGCAAACAAAAGTGTGCTATGTTAACTACAAACGTCTCTCCGTGTTAGTTTAATATGTGATGAAATGGTAAGGCTAGTGTAGAATGGAAGCTATTCCGGGGGATTTTGAAATGTTCTCGTTCTTTGGAAATGGCTCTCCAAATCCAAGCATAATTTAATCCTGGCTTATAAGCCTTTATGGGCCACATACTGCAGCCAGGAGTGTCTGACTCGTCTACTGTGTTGTATTGGCAAGGATATTAACATAAATAATTTGTTATGTAGAACATAAATCCGGTTTTATTTGCGTGCATATGGTGTATATGCATATGGGAATGCATCTGCTATCAGTACACAGATGGAAGTCAGAGGACACTTTGTGATAGTGGAATGTCTCCTCCCATCATGTGGTTTCAGGAAATCAAAACCTGGTCAGCAGGCTTGGCAGCAGGCGTTTTTTACCCAGTGAGCCATCTTGCCATCTGAAAATCTACTATGACAAAGAGGCCTAAAGCATATTCTTCTGGAATAATAGCATAATTGTTATCCATGTAAACATGAGTCAACAAGGGAAATAATAAGCTAAATGGGATTCACTGATTACAGCAAATATATCACTCCTTGTTTGCTATGCTATTTTACTAAATTCTAATATCCCCAAGTAACTTTAGAAATAAAAAAAAAACCTCTTAGAGTGTGAACTGTTTCCTTAAAGTTCACTATTTAAATGATTGCATACTTTATTGCATTCATATAAGAAGTGAAGAAGAGCTTTTTCCTGCTGTTCCCCTGGGGCAGACAGGACTTTTCCTGTCTCCCTCTTCTCTCTGTCTCTCTGTCTCTCTGTCTCTTTACCTCTTTTCTGTTTCCTTCCCCCATCTTATCCTTTCCAATAAAACTTCTCACTTAAAAAAAAGAAGTGAAGAAGAGAGTATTTTTAAATATAGATAATTGCATGTCTGTAAGAAAAGAAATAGTTTGCTTCAAGCTCCTTGCCATTTATCCTGGGACCTGTAAGCAGAACACACGTGAACATAAGACTTACATCTGAAATGACTTTGTGCCTCACTTTTTGTATTTAATCTGATGACATATCAACCAGCTTTTGGGGGGGGTCAGATCTGATAGGTGGAACGAAGCCAAAGTAATTTAATCACAATGGCAGAGGTTACAAATTAATTGGATTGCCTCTATTCTTATATAATGTTTAACCAATTCTTGTAAGTTGGAGCCTGCAAACTGCAGTTACAGCCATATAATGGGATAGTAGACTCACCTGAGCAAATGTCTCAATGGAGTAAACCTACCTCTTCTTGTTCAACTTCTTATCCAGTTCTGAACATATCTTAGGGATTGAACCAAAGTAGAGACTAGAAATTAAAAATAAAAATCCTAAAATGTTGCAAACTCCAGGTTAAAATCCTTATACAGGTTTCAGCTTTTGACATATCTTTAAGCTTTGGGGGAAAAATGGCCAAAGTAATTACAAAGCACAGCATATTGTGGTGTTTATTTTATGCTTCTAAACTTTCATGTGTTAAATACAGCATCCTAGGCTGCATCCCCAGTGACTGAGTTTATAAACCTAAATAGGTTTTAAGAATCCATAATTAGAGCCAGGCAGTAGTGACACATGCCTTTAATGCCAGCACTCAGGAGGCAGAGGCAGGCAGATCTCTGGGACATTGAGGTCAGGTTGGTGTACATAGTAAGAGCCTGTCTCAAAAAGAATAACATAAATAACACAAACAAGAATCCAATGGAACCATTTCTGGCAGGGATGGGGAAGAAAATTTGAGTGTTTTGCTGTTGTTGTTCAGTGAAAATCTGTCCTCAAGAGGTGCATGCAAACTTCAATTAAATTACTAATACTTTCGTCCTGGTTTTCTTCTTGAAGGAAGTTTGTCTATATTACCTTTTCACATGCTTATAGGCTCACTGATGCTTTTGACTTTTTAACTGGCTACTTTATCATTAGTATCTGCATGTGTATTTTAAAGGATGTTCAAAGTGCTAAAAATGACCCTTGCACTCAGGTTTCTTGGAACTTCCCTTATTTTACAGCCAGCCTTTATTGTGGGTTTTCTTCTATGCCAGCATGTTATTCTATGTTACTAAAAGCCAAGAATCATGCTACTTTCTCCCCACCTTTAGCATGAAACAGCCCATGTGTTTCCTAATGTAGGTCTGGAGGAGATAATATGGATCCATGGTGGATATTCTCATTATGAAGAATGCTCATTCTCATGTTTCACCACATGTCATATTCAGAGTTGCCACCTATGATAAAGCTAATCACCTTATCTATATCTGCTTCAAGGCTTTGATAAATGTCAGATTCATTAGATATGGTTTACACCCCCTAGCTCAGCAACTTCAGAAGCCTGAAAGAAAATTTAGGCCTACAGAGATTAAATAAAATTGTAAATGTTTAGCGAGTTTCTTTTTCTCTTTTGTTTGTTTGTTTGTTTGAGACTGGATCTCTCTATATAGTCCTGGCTGTCCTGAAACTCACTATGTAGACCAGTCTGGCCCTGAACTCACAGAGATCCACCTGCCTCTGCCTCCTGAGTGCTGAATTAAAGGCGTGTGCTACCTCACCCAACTAGCAGGTCTATTTTCGTCTACAGGTGTACATACCATTAAACTAATATTTTTCTTCAAAATAGAAACATAAATCCTTTTCCATTTTTATATTTTAATTCCTTTAAAATTTTTATTATAGTGTGTGTGTGTGTGTGTGTGTGTGTTGTATGTGTGTGTATGTAGGTAAGCAGGTACGTGAAGGAATGCTTGTAGGGTCAGTCCTCTCCTATCAAATAGCTTCCCGAGATCAAATTCAAGTTATCAAGCTTGGAAGCAAATGTTTACAAATAGCCAAGCCCATCTCACTAGTGCCAAGATATGTTCTTGACACATATCTAAGGGTTAAAAAGTCCCAGTCCCTTGCCAGGCAGCCATGCCGTATGCCATCAATCCCAGCACTCGGGTGGCAGAGGCAGGTGGATCTCTGAGTTGGAGGATAGCCTGGTCTACAGAGTGAGTTCCAGGACAGCCAGGGCTACACAAAGAAACCCTATCTCAAAACAAAACAAAAAAACCAAGAAACGCTTATACCCAAATCAGCCTTATGTTATCAAATGCACAATAACTTCTGACTGCACAACTACAGAACATTTCTGTGACTGACCCTTCAACACAAGCTCATATAGATGCAGTGCTTAAGTATTCTGTTTTAAATGACTCTTTTTTTCCATGTAAATATTGTCCTACTTCAAACAATTTGAAAAAAATGAATTATTCTCTTAAATAATTAAAGTTTACCCAGTGGGAAGGATTTCTGTCCCAGAAATGTCAAACTGTTAATTAGTTTCTCTGAACTACAGTCTATATTTAGCAAATAATATATCCCCCCATGACAAGAATGAACGGCACAGAACAGTTGGGGACAAAGGAGAAGACAAGTCACCCCTTAGGTCAACTCCCGAGTGACTTCTTGACTGGCTGCATGGGAGAGAAGTCCTCTTCCTTCCATAATCTTATGCCCCTTGCCTGGTCTCAGAGTTCAGAAGTGACCTGAGACCACAAGGAGGGAAAGCCAATGGGTCTTTTCAGCATACCATATATTTAAAAAAAAAAATGCTCCTTCGGTAGAAAGGACTTCAAATATGTAGCATCCCTTCTTCTGGACAATAGTGACCATGAAACCGAACTTTTGAGCATTAAGTCAGATGGAAGGAGGTGAGGATAAGATACTCAACATAGGTCAGAAGGTGAAGAATTGAAATCAGTGGAGTCAATTTAAAAGGTTGTTATATTTTGCTATGATCTCTATATATGAGAAAAAGGAATACACATGAAAGCGTGCCTTCTGTTTTAGTTTGTTCCTCAAATATTTTATTGTACTGAAATTCTGAAGCGAGCAACTCTCCTATGGAGGCATTTTATACAGTATTTGCATCTGTTGCCAATTCACTGATGTGTGGAGACACTCACTGAAAGATGGTGGTTTGAAAGAAAAAAAAAACAGTAGCAAACACCTTTATTCCCAGTATTTGGGAAGATGAAGTAGAAAGGTGTTAAGTTCAAGGCCTCCCTGGGTGCACAGTAAGATCCTATCTCAAAAAAAGAAAAATCACTGCTGCAAAGATGTAGCACAGCACCGAGAAGAGGCAGAAATGAAGGTAGCTATGATTTGCAAAAGGAAAGTCTCTTGTATTTGGAGATGTAACCCTGAAATAAAAGAGAACTTTGTGACTGAGTTACAATAGCAAATGAGAAAGTAAAAATCTAAGTTAGTGCTTTTAAAACATGTTTGTAGTCTCCATAAATCACAGTAGCACCTACAGCTAGATTTGGCATTGATCCACAGAGAAAAAGAAAGACAGAAAGGAGGAGGGAAAGGAGAGGAAGAAAGGGAGAGAAAAGGAAAGAAATGGAGAGAGACAAGGCAGGAGAGGGAAAGGGGAAGAGAAAACAAGAAAGGAAAGGGGAGAGAGAAATGAATGGATGATAGAAATAAATCCTAAAATCATAAATAAAAGTACAAAATGCAATCCAAAGGATTTTCAAAATGAGTTTATCAAGATACGACTGATTATGAAACAAAAGAGCTAGATAAATGGGAATAATTCCATGCCTTAATTGCAATCATAATGTTTGCTGTGTGTGTGAACCTCATAATTTAGGAAGGTTACAATTCCCTCTGTATGCAGTGAAAACCTAAGTGTGTGTGTGTGTGTGTGTGTGTGTGTGTGTGTGTGTGTGTACCAACACCGTGAGAAAATAGGGCGTCTTCATCAGCAGTATACAATTCTGTAACAGTATTTTAAAGGTGACATAGAAGGCTGCAATCAAATAATTTGGTGTCAAAAAGCCACATTCTTTTAAAGAAGTGAAAATAAAAATGTTGATTCATTTCTTAATTTCTGGATTTAAGAAAACCAATCAAACACCTTAAATAAAGAAGAAAAAAAAAAAAAACACCTAAGTTTCACAGGCGAGCACAAAGAAAGAAAACCACAACCACAGCCAACACCAATCACAGGGGTGCTACTTGTGGGCCTTCAGAAGACTGGCAGAAACTACATTTTTTTACCTGTTTTCATGTTTGTCCAAGATCTTGAAAGAGAGGGAGAGATAGAGACGGAGAGAGCAGAGAGAGGCAGAGAGAGAGAGAGAGAGAGAGAGAGAGAGAGAGAGAGAGAGAGACTGCATCTAGACGATCCCTTGAGTTCTCAAGTTCATAAGACACATGGCAGGTAAGAACGCTTACCAGATTCCGCATCCGACTTCAGTGATGGACCCAACAGCAACCCTTCTTTACCTGGATTACTATGAAGCTACAGGCACAGACCATCCTATCGTGGAGACTCTTCCCCACATCTCCTACACATCTGTCTTTCTCCCTATCTTTTACTCAGCCGTGTTCCTGACTGGAGTATTAGGGAATTTCATCCTCATGGTTGCACTGCATTTCAAACGTGGCAGCCGAAGATTGATCGATATCTTCATCCTCAACCTGGCTGCCTCTGACTTCATTTTCCTTGTCACGCTGCCCCTTTGGGTGGATAAGGAAGCCTCTCTGGGACTGTGGAGGACTGGATCTTTCCTGTGCAAAGGCAGCTCCTACGTGATCTCAGTGAACATGCACTGCAGTGTCTTCTTACTCACTTGCATGAGCATGGACCGCTACCTGGCCATCATGTGCCCAGCCTTATCCAGAAGACTGAGAAGGAGAAACTGTGCGTACACAGTCTGCGCCAGTGTCTGGATTATCTCCTGCCTCCTGGGACTGCCCACTCTTCTGGCCAGGGAGCTCACTCACATGAATGGCAAGCCGTACTGTGCAGAGGAGGAACCCACTCCACTAAAACTGATGTGGCATCTGGTAGCCTTAATTGTCACCTTCTTTGTCCCCCTACTGAGCATTTTGACCTGTTACTGTTGCATCACAAGGAGGCTGTGTGCTCATTACCAGCAGTCAGGAAAGCATAACAAAAAGCTGAAGAAGTCCATAAAGACCATCATTATTGTCGTGGCAGCCTTCATCTTCTCCTGGTTGCCTTTTAATACATTCAAGCTCCTGGCCATTGTTTCAAGGTTGCAGCCAGAACACCAGTTCTCTTTGGAGTCTTTTCAGCTGGCCATGGAGGTGAGTGGCCCCTTGGCATTTGCCAACAGCTGCGTCAACCCTTTCATTTACTATGTCTTTGACAGCTATATCCGTCGGGCTATTGTACACCGTCTGTGCCCTTGTCTGAAGAACTATGACTTTGGGAGCAGCACTGAGACATCAGACAGTCACCTCATTAAGGCTCTTTCCAACCTCATCCATGCAGAGGATTTTATCAGGCGGAGGAAGAGGTCTGTATCGCTCTGAAGGGAGCGATATTTCAGTGACATTTCAAGCTCTGTTGGCACTCCTAGGAAGTTGGGTATTGTCAGCAATGGAGAAAGAAAAAAGCATTAAAGATGAAATTGATATTGCTTCATAAACCCAAGGAAGTGTTGAATTTATTAAAGTCCTCCTGAAGAGCTCCTGTGTTGTGCTGCCTTTTCAGCTACGTGCTCTTACGTGGCAATCAAGTCAGCAAGGGAAAATACAAACTCCATTGTCCTTGAACTCATAGGCTGATTCTTCGTGTGTGTCAGTGCACCTTCAGGCCTTTCAAGACCATCCACCCCACTGTTCACACTGGGCTGTGTTTTGAAGAGACACTTTCATCCGAAGGTAGTGGGATACAGGACAACAAAGAAGCTCACTTGTACTCTGTAGCTCACAGTTCCTGAGTTACTGGGATGGATTCTGGTCCTGTTTACTAGTCTGTCTGGTGAGTCTTCGTCTCCCTCCAGCATTGGCTTTTATCCCAGGCCATTCCTGACAGCTTTGGTGTGGCAGGAAAAGTTCATGAAGATAAAGTCACTTTGCACTGAGTTTATGAACTGGAACTCACCTCATCACCTGATCTAAAATATGTTAACAAGGAAGCATGGTGCAAGGTTTGACCTTTGCCTTGTTAAAAAAAAAAAAAAACAGTAGTAACAATACAGCTTATTATAATGCGATGGTAGCTGCTTTTTAAGGTTTTAATATGCTGTTTGTTTTCATTGCCTTTATAAATTAGAATTGGAATTTGTTGTAATTACATGTTTCTAATTACCTGTCATCTAGTTATCAAATGAAAATGTTACTACTAATGTAATTGGAGCTTGGAGGCTAGGGCCCACCCCCATGCAGATTATCACTTGGGGTTCTAATTAAAATGTTAGCGCTGCACATTGCTTTAACAATTCTTTTGCTTGGTATATATAATTTCAAGATGACATGGGATGTTCTGTATCCGGACAAAGAAAAAGAACTGTAACAGAAGTGGTACTAGTGTCTTACACTCTCCCAAAGGCCTTGCTGGGTCTCCTTACCTAATACAATACTTACTGAGTCAGCTTACACCCATATTTAAAACAAAAAATTAAAATGCAATTAATGGCAACAACAAAAGACCACACCTGCAAGTGGGCTATTGTAAGCTTGGGCTTTGGCTCCAGAAAACGTGGGGGTTTGGACCCATTGTTGGCCTAAATGAATTACTTTTTTTATTGCTAAATGTTGGACTTAGAAATAATAAAATACAGATTATTTTCAGAGACCAGCTTATCTAATGTCCCCAAGTATCTCTCACAGTAAGAACAATCTCTACTGGACATGTTCTTATACTGAACCTATTTTAAAGCTGAAAGTACAGATTTTGGTTAGACAAAGTATTCAATTTGTTTATTGTTATTTACTGTCACAAAATAAAATATTATGCCCTTTTATAAGTATTTTTCATATTAAAATATTAACTATAATAACATTAATACCAGTAGTTAACATACAGCTATTTAATAGATTGTTGCGTTTATAGAAAAAAAAAGACTGTGTAAACCATAGCAAATAAAATTTTCCGAGAAACTTCAAAATTTGATTCCAAATAGTTGAACAGTTCTTCAAAACTTAAGCAAAAGCTGAACACAGAACACCAAGGGTACATTTTTATCATACAGAACAACGAAACACCTTAATAATCATTTAGAGTCACTGAGAAAGTCATTGGGAGAAAGCCTGAGCTATCACTATAGGCACTGTCATTCATGTCTGGTCTTAACTGTTCTAACAACCAGTATCAGAATCAAATAAACAACACACACTGCCAAGAATTTTTAGGAGATAAATCTGGCATCCTAACATACTGTATCTTGCAGGTTACACCCAAGATTGGTAAAAACAAAATAACAGTAATAATCTGAAGCAATATGGTAAGGTTGCTTGTTTTCATTTACTTAAGCTATTCTATGTCTCTTAACGACAAAACCAAAAGTATACCAATGTTCAAAGCATTCCTGAAGTAGTTTTTTTGAATTTATCCCAAAGAAGTGCTCCATTAAACCCTTGATAAAGTGTTACCTGATCATCAATGATCAGTTTTCACATAAATGTAATGAAAGCAGTCCCAGACACGCATCTGAAGATTCAGACTAACCTGATGCTTCTTGACATTCGAGTCATGTGTCCACTCTGACATGTCAAATCACTTCTGTGCTGACCGTCACAGTGATGAGGGAAGCTATGCGAATGACTAAGAATCGTCTACCAGTGGAGTCACAAACTAATTCTTTTTTTTTTATAATGCAGAAAGCATGGTATGTGATAGTGGGTGGAAGAAATCTTACCCTGTGATTCATTTCAACCCCTCAAATCACTCTCCTTCCTTGCTGGCAATCTCAGAATTGAGAAATGACTTGTCGGCTGTGTCTGGCCTTATAAAAAGCAAGCCTCGGTTTTTCTACAGAGCTCATTCACAAAAGCCAGGCAATACTAAAATAACTGTAAATTTATTTTTAAAAGTCATGCCACTGGTGAAGCCTGCTAACAGGACGATGGCCGCAGCCTTGTCAGACTGGAAAAGGCAGAGGGTCATTCAAACTGCTACTCTATTTGCATTTTCTAGATAATCCAATTTCCTTTGGCTTCCTTAAATTGGTTTGAATTTTCTTCTGCAAATTCCTGTGATCAGTTGCTTGCTTTAAGTCATTTATTATTTTTTATTGAAGACAATGTAATTATGGCTGGGATTTATATAGTGTTGTCCAGAGGGAAGATCCTTCCAATATTCTGATTTTATTTTGCAGATTTAAAAAAAAAAAAATCTACCTTACAATGAGTTGCCTTTGTTGTTCCTGGTTATTTTAATCATTTCCACAATAAAACTGTATTTCATAACTGAATTGATAAGTTATAATTGTGTTATAAAATATGACTAGAGAGCCCCCCAAAACCCTTCTTTAAATGCCTACTACACCAATCTATTAAAATGGGTTCTTAGGACACAGTGAATTTTCAATTCCAACAGTCTACTTCCTATATATGTTAAGCTAGTATGCACAAGATTTTTAAAGCCCTAATGTAAAATTATCATGGGACCTTTCTTACTTGGCTATATGTGATTAAGTTGAACTACAGTCCAGTTAGACAACTGTCAATTCAGAAGACATGGAACACAATGTTAACCTAACTTTATGATTTGTTGTATGTCTTTAGCTGATGTTACCAGTCTAACTTTTCTTGGTTATTTTTGTTTCTGAGTAAGAAAGTTTAGTAATTAACTAGTCTCCTATCACTCCCTTCTAAAAAATTGTCTTTAGCAATAGTACTCCATACCTGTCAACATTGATAGTAAATTTAACACTTTATTAGTGCTTATCAATTCTTTTTAGAAAATACTTAACTTTTGTCTCATTGCTCACTCAAAGGAAGTATAAAATATTCTCCATCCTAGCATGTTTTTGATGTGTGTTCCAAAATGCATCTTTTTGTTTGCTCTTGATTATGTATAAGGCATGAACTGTAAGTTGTTTGTACATCAAATAAATTTTATGCATAAAAATGATATAACACTAAACACTACCTTTAAATTTTTTTTCCTGCTAGTCCTCAGCAAACTCAACTTTGCTCTGTTCCTTATAAAGCACGGACCTCTGCAATTAATGGAAATCATTTGTGAAATTGTCACATATTCTTGAATTTGTCGATTCCAGAATAACTTAATCAACTCCATAGCAATTTAGTGAAGTGTAAAATTCAGAAAAACTGCCTGAATTACAGAAAATGAGCCTAAATGAGATGTCAATCCTAAGTATATGGCCTCACTCTAGCTAAATGATTCATTACTCTTCTCAATATGCTTGTGGTTTAAACATGTGATTTTTATGCTATAGATCAGTGGGGTTCCTTAAAAACAATCATATCACACACACTAAACTAAACATATAGTGTTCATCATAAACAATGTATTGTGATAGTTTGTTAAATCTCCCTATTGTATGCATGCTTGTTAGAGAAGATAATGCAATTACTCACAAAAAAACACTTTCTCAGATATGCATACTTAAGTATACAAATCTATCATGGCTGATAAGCATCTATTAAATATTGTTACTATGATTAAGTATCTTATTGTGGTTTCTCAGGACAATTAAATCTTTCACCTTTTTACTAGTATTCTAGATAAATTACTTGAGCTGAATGTAACTGTTCTCTATTTCATAAAATATGGAATACAGTGTTGCTGTTAAACAAAGAAAAGAACATGCAAAACAAGAATGAAGTACTGATTGATACTCAAGTAGAGCCTGTTATATTTAAGAAGATTACAAGTCAAATAAATGTCTTTGGTCTTTTCCAGTGCTGATGAAACATGCACGCTTGCTTATTCTGTTCAGCTCCCAATTGCTTATTACTTCAGCTAATAGAGAGCCAGCTGTATTCACCTCCTGAGTTGTGATCAGTCCCTCAAGGAAGTGTTTACGTGGCATGCCCAGTGAAAACACTGTCTCTCTTCATAAAAGTTGTTTTAGACTCTTATAGATCATTTTAAACACAAGAGGAATTCTGGCCAGTTTTTCAATTATTTTCAAAGGACAAACTGAAGAGATGTGCAGTCAACCTCGGTGAGGCACGTCTTTAATCCTAGCACCCGGGAGGCAGAGGCAGAGGCCAGCTTGGTCTATAGAGCTAGTTCCAGGACAGCCAGGGCAGTTATACAGAGAAACCCTAACTGGAGAAAACAAAACTAAGGAGAGAGAGAGAGAGAGAGAGAGAGAGAGAGAGAGAGAGAGAGAGAGAGTGAGCAAAGCAAACATCTCTGAAGAATGTTCCAGATACCATGACTGACTGGGTAAGATGCCCTCTCACTTGCCCTCAGTCTCCAGCAAAAACAAAACTAACAGCTCAGGTAGAGAAGTGGTAAATGAGAAACGGAACTCCGCCTGCGGTTTCACTTTTGAAGCAAAAATACAAATTCACAGGGCTTGAAGGCAGATGGAAAGGGCTACTCTGTTTGTAATGAAAAGGTTCACTGAGTGAAAAGCTGACTCCTATATTATCAAAACTAGTTTAAAATCAGGAAAACTTAGCCAAGAATTGGAAGAGTCCATGCAAAACTGCACAATACATGAAGCTTCAAGAGTTTAAAGTCAAAGCCATTTCATCTCCATAATTAAAAACTGGCAATAGTCCTGTGAAAAATATTCACACAAATAATCAAAGTAACCATAGTAGCATAACAGAGCACAGGTTTACCTATAAAACTGGCAATCATTTATCCATTAAATACTGTTTGGCCGGGGCTACAACTGTGCTTTGCAAGGGAGGATTTACTAGGTGTCATCTGACTAAGCTTTCTAAATGCAATTTAGAAATCTCTATCAGGGACAAGTCCACTTACAGGATTTCAGCCTGGCAAACAAACATGGGCACATCCATGGAAGGACTTGCACAAGGAAGTTTATCTATCTATTTTTATTGCAGCCCTGTTTGTAGAAGTAGAAAAATGAAAACTTACATGTCCAGAATTGACTAGATAGCATTCATGTACACGCTTTACTATCACATACTATGCAGCCATAAGTAAATATCCTGAGACCTTTAACTGACTCCTTCAAAGCAACCATTTAAGAACTGCCGTGTAATGGGGAAGGGCCTAGGCCTGGCCCAGGATGATGTGGTAGACGTTGGGGAGCCCCTTTTGAGGGCCTTACCTTGCCTGGGGAGTGGAGGGGGGATGGCTAGGGGCAGGTGGGATGTTGCGGGGGAGGGGAGGGAGAGGAAGAAGGGATTGACATCTGAAGCAAGCTTGTTCCTAATTTGAACTAATAAAATAAAATAAAAATTAAAAAAAAGAACTGCTGTGTATTTAAAAATTTAATCCAAAGTTAACCCAAAGTTCAGGCACACCTTCATTTTATATTAGCAAACTTAATATCAACTCTAATGTGTTTTTGTCTATCTCCCAAAAAGAGAGAGTTCTTTTCTAATTCTGCAGCATGAGTGGGGTCTGGAGAACTGTTTTCATATTTGAAAATCTCAGCCATGTGGGTGTGGTGTGCACTTTTAGTCCCAGCACTCGGGAGGCAGAGGCAGGCAGATCTCTATGAGTTCGAGTCTACAAAGCAGATGTGAGGATAGTCAGAACTTTACACCGAAAAACCCTATCTTGAAAAAAATCACATACACACGCACACACACACACACACCAAGAAAAAAAAATAAAGTCCTATCTCTTTGTCCCTCATGAAATACTTAACTGGAACTAAACCAGAATATCATTACTGAAATTAAAATAAAAAATTCTTACAACTGTTTCAAATATTAAAAGCTTATGTTTTGCTTTTTTATTGATTTCTTTTGTTTCTGATACATTATGAGTATGAAAGGTAATGTGTACACTTCATTATACATCATTTAAAAATTATCTGAACACTGGCATTTCTTGGTCATTCTAGCTGTTATATGATTAAAGAAATGGATGATGCAGTAACCTTCCCTTGACTTCCTTTGAATCTGTATAACAGATGTGTTATTCAATGAATGTAAGTTCTTTATGATTGTAACCAAAAATAGTGATACTCAGTCACCATGTAAGAGAGCTGTGCTTCCAGATATGGCTGGACTGTCACACATCTGTCCACAGGCCCCAGGTATAGATTCCATATTTGATGTTGCATAACTTAATAGACTATGAACTTTGGGGGGGAAGGGTATTATAGAGATAAATAAGACATATTCCAAAAAGGAAATGTGAAAACATTATGCTGGAAAATAATTTCTTGCTTACTGTTCCTAAAAAAAGAGCAGAACAAATTCTACAAGCCATATTTTAAAATTTCTACTGAAAGCCACATGTATATCTAGCATTTAAATAATCAGGCCAGCAGGTATTTGAAAAGCACTTATACCTGTAAATCTACTTAGAACATCTCTCAGAAGTTCGTATAAGGTTTCAGCTGGTTGGTTAACATAGATATATGTATATATACTCACAGTTAAGTCATAATCATATATATGGAAATACAGAAATATTTCCTGAGATCTCCTGAGCCGTGGCTGTGCTCTGAAGACAGGGAATTTGAGGTGGAATCAAGAGTTTCTTTCTTCAAAGGTCAACAGACTTTCTTGGCTTTGATGACAAAGTGCAGAATAGTCTACAAACATAAACCTGCCAACGTTTGGAAATGGTTCACCAGATTAAAAAAATATTGCAAATGCTACAAACATTTATGTCAATAGGTAGAAAATATATAATAACCTTTCCCCTCTTGCCTGAATTGGGGGACCTACCAACCCTGCTCTCTGGAACAATGGACTCTAGTTTGCATTAGGTATGGAGGAGAGACCAAAGAAATGCCTAGAGGTGGAATCAGTACCATCTCTGTTGCAGATTTTTTATTCCAATCCCTGTTCCATGTTTTGTATGCTAGACACATCATGGAATTAAAATAAGGAATTTCCATAAATGTTAACTATAAAAAAAGTTACTTCTAGTTTTTTTGATGTTTGGTGAAGCAATACCTAAAAGTCTTGGTAGGGATGGTAATATGTGTTACTGTAAGCAGGAGATATCGTGGGGGAGAGAGGATCCATGTCTCTAGAGGACCTTTGACCTGTCAGGGAAGAGTCAGAATGTCTCCAGCCCCCTTTCTCTCCCTCCACTTTGAATATCCCCATCAAGTATAGCCAGTGTGAGTAGATCAGTTCAGCCACTGGCCCATCTTCAGACAAAGAAATCCCTCCATTTAACTCTTTTTTTTTTTCTGTAATTATTTCTGTTTTTGTGCTTGTCTTCTCTCTGTTCAGGTCAAAACAACACCAGTGGTTTTTAAGATGTCAAATGGATATTTTTTTCTCTCCCTCATTCTATATGCAAAACACAGAAAATGAGAAACAAGAAACCGCTCATGTTTTTAGGAAGAACAGAGTTTAAAAATCTGTGTCAAGATCCAGTTTAATTCCGTTACAGTTAATGTGCCAAATTTCAAATGGAAATTCAGTCCTGTGCATTTTTAAATTGTGTAACAACTATTGATTCTAAAATAGGCATATCACAATGTGCCTGATAGATAGAATTAAAGCTCATTTACATACATTGTTACAGATTGCAGTGCAAACACTGTTCTCAGAGGAATTGTTAAGATCATCTAAGTCAACCCACTCATTTTTCAAATGTGAAAACTAGAAGAAAGGAAGAATCTACTCAAAATTTTGTTTGTTTTTCTTTTAAGATAGAACCATAGATATGGTAACAAAGGCTGTTCTAATGCGACATAGAGTTAGTCTGGTTGGTAATAGCCACAGATCTGAGTGCTCTATGTGCCCCACCCAACCACGGCCCTGCAAACTTCCCCGGTTCTTGCATCTTTCAGCATACAGTAGCTAGGGAGATAATGCCTGGTGTAAAAGAGACCTTAAAGATCCAGGCTCCTGCCCTGAGAAATGTGTCCTCTGGGCCTCGGTGTTGTCTACTAGAATGAAAACTCTTAGTCTAGTGGTATAGACCCTGTTACCATCAGTGCTGAAAGTTCAAATTTCGAACTCTAAAGGACATTGTTGCCTGTCCAGCATCCATCCTCACACTTTTTTTTTAATAGCAATAGTTAAGGATCTTGGGACTCAACCTCAAGCAGTTTACTGCTTAAATTAATTCTCACTCACACAATAAAGCTTTGGTAGACTTCGAGCCCTCCATGCCTCTACACCATAGCCACAGGGCAAGCCTGTAAGAGACCATCGGGCTGTTTGAGAGGCCAGTCTCTGTTGTTCCTTTCCCTCTGCACCATACTGAAACTGTTAGCCCCCATGATGACCACAAAGGGGCCCGTCTTAAAGTTTACAATGGTCAGTGAAAACAAAACAACAACAAAAAAAAAAAACCAAAACTGAGCCCACTCCACTCAGTCTTTGCTGGCATGGCTGAACCTGCAGATGAGTCCATCCCAAAGTCCTTCCTACAACTACGCATTCCAAATAGCTGGACTAAAACACACTTGCTAAAGCATATTTGTTTTAACTTTTACTTGAAACCCCAAGGGATCTAATTCACACTAGTTCTTCGGGAGTTCCAACGGTACTGCCTTTAGTTAGTTGTACCTCAGTGTACAAGTTTTCAAAATATGTGCCTAACAGGACAAGTTCAAAGAAAAGGGAATAACTGTGGCTCTGGGGAAGAACTATTCATAAACAAAGTTCAACAGAGAGATTAGGAGCATTTAACATTTAAAAGTATAGCATTTAAAAGTATAACTTTTGGGTTTGTTTGTTTGTTTTTATTGCTATCCGGTCCTTTAAGGATGTGTTCAGTAGGGCAATGTTCCTATGCAGATCCATTGACTTGTGCTTATTATCTGGAAAGAGCTTTGACCCAGAAAACAGTGTCAGTTTAGAAATTATAGAGCAACTCATGGTGTACCAGATGCTCAAAAAAAGATGGAATATGATTCCACTGCCATATTTTGTAAATAGAATATATATATACATATATATGTATATATATTGTATATACATATATATGTATATATATTGTATGTGTATGTATAATATATTACATATATTAATTTAAGATGAATATAAGATGATGTGTTAGTGTAAATATTTCCCAAAGATTGCTTGGGAAGTACTTAATAACAAAGTGAATTTATTGTTATCTGAGGTTCAAATTCATTTGAGTGCCATATTTTATCTGACAATCCCATATGAGGACACGGAGGG